AACTGATGCTGTTCAATGCAATAAATCAATGGGAAAAGAATAGAAGGTAAAACTAACCTCAGAGCACCAATCATTTGAATATTTGTTCGGATCATTTCAGACTTCATGACCTTATTTCTCAGATGCTGTATGACCTCAACAGTTGCCTTTGCTAACAGATCATCCGAGAGGCTTGAAGCAAGAGATGCTGCAGACAATGCAATTCGCATGCTTAATCCATTTCATTCTTGACCTTGGCCACTAGATAATACCTTAATTGAAATAAGCTAGAGAATGGCGGAGACTTTATGGAGAACTGTGTTTCAAGATGCTTATGGACTATTTTACATCTGTAGCCGACCATCAATCATAACAGTCCCTCCTTGAGGCTCAGCTAAACTAATTAACATCACTAACATAATGCACATCACAAGATGCTGAGGGCAAGACCTAAAATGCCAATTACAATGCTGAGATGATGTACTCTCCAAATAAAGTATAAAAAGGGAAACTCCAGAGCCAAATCTTTCTTAAAGTTTCGTGTACCAAATCTAAGCAAAAACTTTCCATCAGCCTCATATTTGTGTGAACCAGTCAAATGCCCTAATCAAGATTGCTCCATTTGTCAACAACAATTGCCACAATTCCGTCATGTTACTGTTTGAAAAGCAGCAACTTTGGTTCAAAATGTACAAGAAAATGAAGTCTTTGTTGTGAAACACGAACAGCATATAAACAATAAGGGACTGAAACACTATTCAACACTGTGGCTTACCTAAGCATGAAACAGTCTTTTTCCTCACACTAGCTTGAGGTGAAGTCAACTGGGATAACAGGGCGCCCAAGAGAAGTTCATGGTCATTTGCAATCAAATTACCAAATTTGTGAAGGACATCACATAAAATGTCAAGGCATTCACACTTTATCTCTGTGCTCATACCCTATAATGGTAAAGAATCAGAGTTAGAACAATGAGCAATGAGAGAAGAAACATCCCATTCCAACGATTAAAGTGTGTTTGTGGCTTTTTAATTGAGATAAGATGTGTCATTTCCATTTAAGTGTGTTTAAAGCGTGTAAAGTTCCAAGGGACAATTGCCAACTGCTCTAAAAGCTTAAGCCATCAAATGAAGTGTAATTTAATATTTAAATACTATAACACTCCTCTCCTTAGAAATGTAGTGTTTATCATTTTGAATTAAACTTTAACACGAAAAAATATAGACACATTGGGAGGCAAAGCATGCAAATGAACTAGGATCATTTTCTCTAAATGCAGGTTTTTTTTTTTCCGGCCAGTTAAAATTAGTTGACGTTGAATCGTCCTTTATGGCATCCAAAAGCTGTTTATTAGTTGTTGAATAAGTTGATAATGCTGAAGTTGCCACCCACAACCGCGAAGATCCATCTCTAGAAACATTGGAGTAGTAATTCAAAGTGAAGTGTCTCTCTACCTTCTATTCTTCTGGAGAAAATGCTAAACTCATTTACAAATATAATTCCCAATATTAAACAGCCATAAGTAATGGATAACTTGACGATGTTGACCTTTCTAAAACTTTAGATAAGTCAATCTCCAGGGAATTCTACCCAAAGTTAACTCTTATGTAACAACGAAAAGGGCTGACCTAAAAGCTTGCATGCACCATCACTTGCAACTTTGTATACTGAAGATAAAAATGAGTAGAGATGCCACATACAAATCATCCAACACCAACATCAAAATTAAAGAATCGCCCAATATGAAAATTCGCATTGGTTCATTTGACATCCACTAGTATCCTTACTGCACACGTATGCTCATACTTCTCATTAAGCATGCATGTTGATGTTGACAAATTGCATTTACCCTAACAAAACTGAATGTGGATCCTTCAGATCATGCTATAAGTTATATCACAAGATGTAGCATGAGAATGTGCAAGCAAATGGGCTTATTTGACTACTTCTGCAAACTCACCGGACCGGTTATTCCTTTTACCAATTGTGGAGTGAGAGTAACAAGCACTGATCGTGCAAGAGACAATGAAGAAATCTCAGAGATAATAGTCTTCAAAGCAATGCTGGCAACATCACGATGCTGATCCTTCCCATTTAGTAACTTGTCACAGAGTTTATCTGTCATATCCACAACACGCACCTCGCTAACCTTCTTAACCAAAGGAGCAAGACTGCATCAACAGATCATACTCAGTGTTAGAACAGAGCCAGCACACACTGCAGTAGAACAGACGGCACCAATACAGAGTCAGATGAGAAGATTAAGGGAGCAAAGGTAAACAGAGAATGCAAATATAGATGCAAATCACATGGTAAAATTTTCTTATGAAATAAACAATCTTTTCGTACCTACTCAGTCAACTGAAATAGTCAACAAAAAAAAGGAAGCAACATATGGTGGAGTTCGTACTATTTGTTAATGCCTACAGAGAATTGGAATGGGTAGGGGAATATACACATTTCTTAAATGTTATTCAGTTTTCAAATGCTTTCTCATTCTACTTCCCTGGTCTAGCCAGCATCCTTATGCATAATCAACTGGCCTTTTATACTCTCCTAGGCTAACTTGACCAAGATAAATGCTCACATACGTAAACCCAATGCACATCTGACATCACAAATAAAACTACCAGCACAAGAGGAAACGCGAATGAGCAATCAATTCGAGGACAGAAGAAAGTTTGAGTGCCAACCATTTCACAGCCAATCCAGAAACATCGCCGGCTGCATCATCAAGCTGTTGGAGAACAATATTACATAACTTTATCTCCAGATCAGCGTCGGCTTTGAAGCCCTCTTTATTCAACTCGTTCAACAGATCAGACGTCGCCATGTATCTATAATCCTTGTCCTTGCCCGTCATCTGCAGACATGCTCAACATCAGAATGACACCCTCGGCACACTTAAGATGCGACTGAAAACAGCATTCAAGTCGCACGCAGTCATATCAGGACGCGATGTTACCTTTTCCAGTATGCCCGTCATCTGTAGATTTGCCATCTTGACAGAGACCGAACTCCCCAACCGCCAATCCCTGAATCGTACCGGAATAAAAAAGCACAAAACACGCAAAGAATCAGGCTAGCAGAGGGGAAGAAAATAAAAAAATAAGCCACTCGCGTCATCACTGCGCAAAACCAAAAACGGCATGACCCCTATTCCCCATCTGCAGAGCCCACCCCATTGCCATCGCCGCCCATTCCCCATTACCCAGTAAACGGCATGACCCCCCTCCCCCAGGCTTCCCAACCCACAAAACAACAATGCATCACCACTTGGCCCCAAACCCACATACATCCACAAGCTAGAAACACCGCACAAGCCCTAGCTCAATCCCATCTCATCCGGGTGACCACAACAACAAGAAGATGGGGGGGCAAACACAAGACAACCCCCATCGACCCAGAAGCGAGCACCCACCACGCAAAGACCCCCCAACCCCCATCAATCGACGGCGGCATCAAAGTGGGGGGGAGAGAGAGAGAACACGATCGCACCCACAAAAAAAGAAAAAGAAAAAGAGACCGAGAGCGCAGTTTACCGCGGAGTCCGCGAGCTCGGATGCGAGGAGGGATGCGGCCGGGCTCGAATTTGAGAACCCTCGCTAGCTCGTCGCTGATCTGCTGCTGGGTGTCTCTCTGCTCGGGTGCTCGGTTCTTGACAGCCTTCGCTTCGCGGCTACTGAGCGGGACACTACGAACCAGTCAGAGCAGACAGAGGGGAGGTGAAAGAAGAGGAAGAAGAAGCAGCAGCAGCAGCAGCTCTCAAGGATTCGCTTGCACGGAAAAGAAAGAAGCAAAATGAAAATAAATTATTATGAAGTAAAATAAAAATAAATAAAAACCCTATTTTTTTCCTTACTTTCTTGACTAATTGAACCGGGCCTGGACCCGGTTTTGCATATCCGGGTTTGGGTCTATGGCTCGTCTATGAATATGAGCTATAAGGCCCTATCAATGAATTTGAATAACCCTATCTAGACCAAGTCTTTTGGAATGTGAAATTTGATTTAACAGTTTATATGATTGTGAAGCGAAAGATGTGTTTCCACAATATTTAGAAAGCATGGTGTTTTTGGAAATCATCGATTGCATGTTTCAATCACGCCGTCGCCTGTTTTATTTATTTATTTAATCCAATAGATCCCGGATGAACGTCGTTATTCATATCGATTTGGTCGTTCATGATAGGACGCGATATGATTCGTGTATTTCGTTTGGATATTACTTATCGTTTGGCCAAGAACTCTTAAAAGTTTGTAAGATTATTATAATTCCAATTGTGACTCAACTTAAAAAGGAAAAAAGAATGAATTCACATGTCTGATCAAGTGGATTTGACGCGATTTTTTGCGGGTTGTGCAAGGGCGAAATCACAGACTTAGATTACTTCCGTCGAGTCCGCCGACACTAATACCAAATTATTTAAATTGATTATATCAATACATCAGATAAAAGAAATAGATTAATGCCTAATCGGAGTTGGTAGGAGGTAATTTGTTTGCACTATGGCAAATGTAATGAAATAGAGCTTTGTGGCGACGACCCATGTAAAGTCCTTTGCACTATTTTTCTAGTTTTATATTAAATATTTTATATTCCAAGGACTATTTTGAATATAATCCAAGAATATAGGGTCGCTTTTAATATGTGGTGCCCCCACAGTTAGGAATATATATAATCGAAAACTACCCCAAATTCTTTGAATGAGCTTGAAAAGCGAAATGCCATGAGGATTGAGGAAGGTCGCCCATCGGATCTAGCAGGCCTTGGCAAAAAGGTTACATTAAGCACATAACTGCATCAACTCTGAAAATTAAGAGTAAAAGAGTAACGTTTGAAAGACAAAATACTGACTTCCAAAAAAAATTAACTTATAAAAGGATATAGATTCGATACGACTCGTTTCTTCATATGCCCAAAATACAATTTATCGCGTCATTTCGTAAAACAATTTTGTTTCGTAAAACAATTTTGCGAACCATTCGATATGTTGCTAGCTGCTATGTTCCCGTCGACACGATCCGACGCAAATTTATCGAGTTATCCTGGAATCTCATAAGACAGGACATTTCAGTACTGATAGTTGCCATCCAATGACCAAAGTAGTGAAGCAGCGGAGCCTTATGCAGAAAGAGTTGGCTGGCTTCATGTATTGTCACATTCCCAGATATTCCCCTTCATCTCATATGCAAAACAAGACCTAACTAGTATGACAGTATGTACTATCAGCATCATTACCGCTGCTGTGACAATGGCTGCTATATAAACATCAGAAAATTCCTGTACAAACAGTCTCCACAATGGAAATTACTAGTATAGACTCGAGGCCACTGGACCGGATCAGTCACCGTCAGCTCTGCATGTAAATCCCCAAAGTAGACCGAACCCGACACTATGCCCATCCTTGTGTGCGATATCCTTATGGAGCTCTACAATACGCCCATCCTTTTGTGCAATATCCTTGAGTGAGCCGATGAGTGATGACTTTGAGAACAAAAAAATGTTCCTGACTTTATAGATCAAAGTTCCACCAGTGATTAGCATCTTCTAGTTTCACCTCTCACAGATTAAGTTGCAAAAGTGCTGACTACCTAGTGTAGACAAAATAGAGGTCAGAAAGATCAAATGAAAATAAATTTAAGCACTACAGAGCATTTAAAAGGGGGCACACATACCACATTTGGGGCTCAACTTTTAGTCATGGAAGAACTGCTTTTATTTGCAAATCCTTTTGAATAATTTTCGCTCCGCAACCTGGTCCATCCAATGGGCCAACAGCCTCCTCATCGACTAGAACGGTATTTACAGTATTGACAACTGCAGCATCCTGCGGAACCTGTACGATAGAAAGATATATCTTTTTGGCATTGGATAGTATGAGTAGTGTAGGGAAACTAAACTCAAGAATACAGATTTCCCACACTTTTCCCTTCTAAACAATAGCAGAATTAATCCTCTCATGACTATGAGCAGACCTACTGACTGGTTAAGGTTTAATTTATTAGCCAAGAGTATAGCACAATCGTTTGGCAACTATATGAAATAAACAGACTCCTCCTGTTTCCTCAAGATTTATTATTTATTGGTTTTTTGGTTGAGGGGTCAAACTGCTTCTTAAGAGTTATGATTGATCAACTGCAGATGTAAAGATTGGGGAGGACAGCACACAAACTTTTACTATCTTTTATGGGGTACTATACAGGACGGTACAAAAACTTGACTTCATTACTCTGGTTAACTGCAACAACAAGACTAGAGCTTTAGGTTTTGTACTGCCGAGTAGTTTCAATAGTTTATAACGAATACAACTTTCATAACCATTTTAGAAATCGACTCCATTATTCTCAGCCACTAGTTGTCCATATAGCGGGTTGCTGCAGCATGGAGTAGAGCGACACATCACTGATAAGACCATGTTAATATTTTCAACATTTTTTGGGCCTGGAGAACCATACTGGAAATTAGAGTGAGTTTTCAGTACCAGAGGAAGATGCAATCTGTATATTATAGAAGGAACTGAAATGGTAGTTTGTACCTCAAACATTGCTTCGATCAGTATATTCTCCAGAAGAGCTCTTAAACCCCGTGCACCAGTGTTCTTTACCAATGCTTTCTTAGCAATTAATCTCAAGGCATTATCTGTAAACTGTAATTCAACCTGAAATATATGCGACAATATAGTTTAGCACAACACCATGGCACCAAAATGAATGTTTTCAAGAAAATATTTTCATTAAGACTACTGATAGATCAGTATACATTATTCATCCGGAACATCTTCTTGTACTGTTTACCGAGAGCATTTTTCGGCTTCGTGAGAACCTAACGTACATCAAGGAAAAAGATTCCGTAAACTTTCCCATAAAGAAAAGCAAAAGTGATGAACTTCAGTTAAAGGGAAATCAGCTTATTGCGGAGGCAGTATGGGTTATCCTATTGGTAACCATGCACCTGAACTAATTGGTCTTCACTCAAAGCTGATAAGATAGCCACAACAGGAAACCTTCCAACAAACTCTGGAATAAGGCCATATGCAATGAGATCACCACTTTCTACCTGCATTGCCATTATAAGGGCAAGAGGTCAGACTGAAATTAACAAACCTGGGACAGTCACAAGTACATCTCATTTTTCACCAATAAAACAAACATGGAATTACAAAATAATACTCAATTCAAATTCTTGAGTTCTTATTCTAATACTCAACAGATTTCAACAATGAGGATGCCACCAGTGTATCTGTCAGTCCACCAGTCCTCATGTTTGCACGCACTGGTGCTCCAAATCCAATGGAAGAATCTTGTCGCCTGCAAAAATAATACATAAACAAAATTTGACACTATGAACTCACTTTCTACAAGCAATCAAATAGATAAAAAAAAAAGAAAAGGAACCGATTAACATCGCCCAAAGATCCTGAGAGGGCTTTACCTTTCTGAGATAGTCTTATCCAAATCAACAAAGGCCCCACCACATATAAACAGGATATCCTTTGTATCTATCTAAACATCAGAACAAAGGATTAGACATCTCAAGCATGAAATACTACACTTTATCAAACATTTGAGATCATCTTATAAACTTTAAGTTCTAAGTAGGAGGAACACGAGAGCGCTTCAAAGCCAAAAAAACAGGAGACTCATGCAACCAACTGGGAAGAAGCACCAAACTACCAAAGGCCTTTGGGTGACTAAGGATGGCAATTTATCCCGGCCAGCATATGTCCACATTGCCAGCCCCTAAATTTTTTTGTTCGACTAGTACTTGACAATCAATTTTTTTTACTTTTTCACGGAATAGAAAAACTGTTTGCTGTTAAATCCAAAATAATCTTTTGAATTAAAGTTAAGTTTAAGACAAATGTGAGGCAACATTACAAAGAGGGTAGCAAAACCTGAATGCCCCACGGGGGTGGGAACGCAGGGTGCATATGTGGCTTCCTCAATTATCATGAGGTGGGGATGGGGAATGCAAGCCCCGCTGCCCCATTGCCATCCCTATGGGTGACTCTACCTCCATCATTCCACCCAATTAATTTATCAATAAGAGCATCCCAGAAACACGAAGTACTAACAAAGGTAAAAGTTTACCCGAATGTCATCTCCAGGAAGATGCCTCCGAGCTCCTTTATCAGGAATATTCACTACCTGAGAATGAGAACATAGTCCTTACGTAGGGTAAATGTAGCCTTTGGTGCTAGGAAAACAGAATAGAGAATTGCAACTGAAGAAGCTCATGAATGCAAAAGAGAGGTACTTCTTTTGCTCTAATTTAAAAAAATCTATAGTATTTTGAGGTAATTGATAGATGATGTATCGCAAAAGGAGTTCAAGCTCGATGTACGAAAAATCACAACACTGCTCCTGTACAGGCAAAACTTCCAAACATTACAGATACAAATCAAGTTGGAGATAAAAACATAAGTGGACTACGTGTAATTAAAACCTGAGGATGTAAGTAAGTTTCACAAGAAACAAAAGCCTATTCAAGTGTTATAAGGAACTGACAATTATGCCGTTTCCTTTAAAAATTTGCAAAAAATTTATATGTGAATTTACATGTCAATGTATGTTTTGCAAGTTTTGTTCCAAGTAAAATAAAAGTCGAAATGCGCAAGGCGCTAAATTTGAAAAAAAAAACTGTCAAAAGTAAAAAGTGAACGTTATTCCAAATAGACCCAAAGATGTTACCGAGAAAACAAATAAGGTAGCATCCATTAACTTGCAAGTTACTCAAACAGGGTGTTAGATTGACATCAAATGGCAAACCAAGAAAGTACAATGGCCACCAAATCAGAATCCTCTGATTTCGAGCTAAAATTGATTATTGTTTCTACAACTCAAAATTGTAAAACACTTTAGGAGGCCGAAGGAAGCCAGACCCCTATCCCCTATTTCTGTTCTCATTAATCAGCAAGCTAAGTTGCCCTCCTCTCATGCTGAAGAAAAATAGCACAACTCTTAACATAAATCAAAACACTTATCCAATATTTATAACCAAAGAAGAAGCTATATAAAAACACATGCAAGAAAACCATCCAACTGTTCTTCTTGAGCTCTTTCACAGACACTGCAAAGCATGAAGGATCAAAACTAGTACAAAGAAAGGAAACTCACAGTTCCTTCTAGCATTTTCAGTAATGCCTGTTGGACACCCTCCCCTGAAACATCTCGGCCAGTATCTACATGCTCAGCCTGCACATTAGTCCCGCTTAGATAAGTATGAGCTCTAGATTCTCTATATTTAAAAAAAAAATGAATCAGTCAGAATACCTTCTTTGTTATTTTATCAACTTCATCTATGTAAACAATACCTTGCTGTGCTGCCTCCACATTGAAATCAGCTGCCTAAAGGCCATAACATAAGTTGTAGGTTGATAAACATGTTGAAAAGGCATGCCATGAGCGGCAAGAAATTACTTCAAAATCTTAACTATATTCGAATACTGTAACCATGAATGGATGTGTATACAATGGCAGATAGCATCTCCACCCCTATCACTAAAACCCACCTATATGGTATGTGAGACAAGACTAGCAATACAGGACAAATATTCACCTCAAATCTGGTCCTGCAATTTAGCAGAAACATGCAACCATTATAAATTTTTAAAGCCAGCTAAGCATTTTTTGCTTTGTAACCATGTACCTTGTGCTCAGCTCTAATTTTCTTTTTACAATACCACCTTCCAACTTGTGGTGTTCTGAAAGGTTTTGGCCCGTTACTTTCAACATTTTTTACCCCTTATTCTCAAAATATCTTCTTTTTGTTTTTCTCCAACACCATTTGCTAAGAAGCTAGCACCGGCACTGACGGTTAGATGTTGGACTTGGAACTAAGAACAACAATACGGTTGTGAAGAAGGGCACAGTACATCTCATGTCCCCACCGAATTTCCAAAAAAGATCTCTAAAAAGTCACTAATTTGTGCTTAAATTACAATCACCCCTGCATAAAAAATAGGACGTCAAGAAGACTCAAGAAGCAGATCATTGGCCCATGATAATTGCCTATTTGAAACTTGAACACAAAAAGTCACCACACAAAACACCATTATGAATCTTTCAAATCACAGAATTGCCCCATGGAATAGAAAAAATCACCAACTTAAGTGGCCTTTTATATGCATATCTTTAGGAGATTATGACTGTTAATACTGCCAACATTTAATGATGAAACCAAGGAAAAAACCTGAAAGAGATTTTTTTTTCTTTGGCAAGAGTCTTTCTAAACATACCGCAAGCAGCTTATATATTATTGACTCTACGTCTTCACCAACATAACCTGCCTGGAGAGAGAGAGAGAGAGAGAGAGAGAGAGAGAGAATCAGTTTATCTCAGATATGCACGTAAATGTTACAGGCAACAAAAAATGAAGACAAAAATTACTGGCATGCAATTGCAGAACAAATTCAGGGAGGTGGCAATTGAATGCAAAAGAGAAAACATCACGCACATGAATCTGTATCAATAACTCTAGAGAAGTCCATTAATGACTGAGATAGCCAGTTCCATTGCCTTTAGAGATCGATTCAAGAAATTTAGGGGCCCTTTGCTTTGAGAAAATTCTCCAAATTCCTGTTTTCACCCTCTTTTGGAAATATGGGACACTCGTTTTGGTAGTGTATTCTAACGAAATTCTTCTGAAAATGCGGAAACTGGTTTTCAAAAGTTAAAGTTTAAGATTGAAAACAGCATAACGTTTCCAGAGTTGTCAACTCAATTGAAAATGTGCTGTTGAGCAGAAGAAGAGAAAGGCTTCACTAATCTCCTCATAGCAGATGGTTGCACACTTTTCAAAGCAATCTCTCATGTTTACACCTTCAAGATTATAAACACAAAACTCATTGCATGCATCTCGTCTCTCACACAATCCCAGTATTTGCAGACTTGCTCACCCAAACTCTATGTGCGTGGGCGTGCAATGCTGCAACAAGCTCTTAGAAAAAATCTGATAGAGAGTGGAGAAAAATTTGGATGAAGGGAAACCTTACTCAGGGCTTTTTCTTTTTTTCAATGTCTGGAGACTATGGGCAAGCTTTTTTGGTGCACGAAACTCCAAAGAAGCTTTCCGTTCACCTCCCCAACCCCCCAATCCTGGGCAAGCTTTCCATATCCTGGGCAAGTTTTTTTGGTGCACGAAGCTCGAAAGAAGTCCTTTTTCAATATCTGGACACTATGGCAGATACTGCCATAAAAGCACTTTCTAATTGCACAAAGCATATACAGAACCAATCCACGGAGTGGAAAAGGCTTTTCTCATGTCATTGCTGAAGACTCGGTTAACCAAAATTTTCTCCTTGGGAATACATGAGAACTGCTTAGGCATTTCCAACTAAGAGCTGATGTCCAAATGATATCCAAAATTTCATATGCTTCTTGAGAGTCGTGACCCATAGTTTCTCCTCAATCTATTAAGAAATTGAGCCTCAGCCTACATAAGATTACATGCCTATACCAAAACATCGTGAGTTATAGCTATCCCAGTCACTTCAAAAAAATTTCTCTCTTACCCACCCACAATAAGGAGGCATAGAGCATTTTCCCATGGACCCATTTGATCTCAAACCTTGTTAGTTTTTGAATACCACACATCATTTGCGACATCATAATCTCCACACATACCACCATGCTGATGTTAGATTATCCAACACTGTCCAACAGCATGAAGAAATTTTCGCTGAGATCAAGAAGGAGGATTACTTGCCTCTGTCAAAGTTGTGGCATCTGCAATTACAAAGGGGACACTCACAGCGCGAGCTAGTGTCTTTGCCAGCAATGTCTTCCCTGTCCTTAAAAGCACGGCAGAAATAAAACAGTCCACAATCATACAAACTTATGACCCCCAACATGTCCTATAATTGCAGGACATATACCACATATTACAAGTAGTGTTCATACCCGAGCCAGTGGGACCCAGCAGCAGTATATTGCTTTTCTCTAGCTCCACAGAAACATATCGATTATCATCAGCAAAATCACCAAAAGATAACTCCCCATCTGACCTGCTACAGACATCAATTGCTCAGGCCCAAATAGTGATATATCGCGTCATCAAGAGCATACTTGAGCAGAGACAAGTTTCAAAATACAAACCAGACTTCAAAGCACACTAAACAGAGATTGATAGGGAGATCTATGAGCTATAACTATAAGGGCACTAACTGACATAAATCAGGAAGAGCTGGAAAACTAACTCTTTCCCGAGAGAGGTGTGATATATCCTCTTGTAGTGGTTGTACACCGCCACAGCAAGAACCTGTTCCCGAGGGAATATTAGTGCCTAGCAAAGACTGATTCAACTAACAAAAAAAAAAAAAAAACATGCAGTTCCAAGATGTAATCATGATAACCATCATGCAAAGAAGTATCTAAACTTGCAGTCGGAGGACAACTATGCAAATTGACATTGGTCATAACCCCGTTTCTTCATGATGCTTATCATGAAGCAAAGGCACGCAAATTCTACACAAGCTCGCTCACAAAAAGCCAAGAATGGAACCTTTTTCGCCATTTCCTGCCCAACAACGAACTCGTCAAGCCCCTTGCAAATCTCCTTCGGCGTCGGCAACTTCCTCCCCAACTTCGCTCCTCCTCCCCAACCTCCCTCTTTCTCCTCCGCGATCGCCTCGCCGATCTCCGCCGCTTCGCCGCAACCTCGGCTCCTCACGCGCGAAGCATCGCGATGCCTCTCCACGTCCTTGGCGGAGACCCGGCCGATCTCGACGAAGCTCCCCTGCAGGGGCTCCAGCTTGAAGGGCCTGAAGTAGAAGGCGGTCCGGCAGTGGGGGCAGAGGTTGAGGGCCTGGTAGACGCCGGGCTCCCGGCCGGTAATGGAGAGGGGGCGGTTGGAGAAGAGGAGGGGCATCTGCTTCGAGCACCGAGGGCAGTTCACGTCCGCCCTAATGTGGTCGTACTCGGTCCCGTCCCACTTGTGGCGCCGGTGGTCGCGGCGGGACGAGGCGGCGCCGATGATCGCGAGGGAATTCGGCGGGAAGGGAGGTCCGGCGGCGGCGGCGGCGGAGGAGAGGCGTTTGAGGGCGGCTCGGGAGCGGCGGAGGGCGGCGAACATGGCTAACGGAGGACGACGCCACCGCCGAAGTGGCTCAGTTTTAGTTGGGGGGATGGCGGCATCACACCATCAGCGAAAGAGGATGAAGCGTTAATTGGATTTTTCTCCAAAATACCCCCGTCATTTTAGGCCATTAAATAAAATAATATTTTTATTTTTTAATCTGCTAATTTTTTAAACCTATTATGTGTAAAAATATAAAGGACAAATTTATTCTATTTTCATGATTTATTGAACTTTCTCTGACTAAATGATGCATCATGTATTACCACCAATCTAAACTTCATAGTAGGCCTCTTGGGCTATATACTGTAATATAGAATAACTCACCATCATGTCTAATATTGCCCTTATATTTTCCATATATAACGGGAAAAATCGGGTTTTACCTCGCTTTTACTAAACTTTCGGAATTATGCTCCAGTAAAATAAAGATCTTCGGAAATAACTTTGCATGCAAAAAGATATTAACAATGTAGTAATTTTCATACGGCGCTCATTTTGGTCTTTTCAAATGATAACTTAAATGTCATCATTTTTTTTAAATAAAAAATAAGCTTCATTTGAGTGACGTTGGCTATTTCACTTGAACTAGAGGATTTAAACCTTATGAGACTATTTCAGATGGGGGTAAGCATGATGTGGGTGGGCGGTTACCACCTCGGAACCGGAAATCGTCCACTAAGGATTGGTTTCAAAAAATTAGAATCGAAAACCGTCCGTTGACTGTATAGACCCACCTAGAAACTAGACTTGCCGGTCCAGTTCGGTTCCCGGGTGGATCCATGAAATTGGTCTCACCAAGCTTCCTTGGACAAATCAGAAAATGGGTTAGTCTAAGTCCCATGGCTCATGGAAGAAAGCGTGTTGGTTGGTTGCTTTGGGTTTTTTTTTTTTTTGGGGTCAAAAGTTGTGTTGAAGTTAAGGGAGAGGTAGAGGGTTTGAAGATTGGAAGTATGTTTATACCTTTTGTTTGTTGTGATTGTGATGTTTCTTGCAACTCCTAGGAGAGGGCAATGGCTGGATAAGAGGAATGGCAAGGCATTGGTGGGGGATTTGCTCTGAAGTGGCTGGAACATAGATAATATTGTCAGTTCAAGGAAGAACTAGGATATTGTAGGGACGACTATTTTGTTTCTTCAACTTTCACTTTCGCTAAAAGTGAACTAAATTTTTTAATGTATATATCAATCCAGTCCGAGTGGGCGTTTTCACACTGAGAATCGAGAGCCGGATCGGTATTCACCAGTTTTAGTAAATTGAAATCGGGAACTAGACCGGTCCTCATAGGAACCGTTGGTTCCAAACTGGTTCGGTTGGGTTCTAGGCAGCTCCTAATTTCTTTGTACACCCCTAATTTTAGAGCTTCAAGAGAGAATAAGCATACATCCAAGCTTTCCTCTTCTTCATGCAATTGTTTATTTGTTTCATTATAAATTACTTTTGTAGTTATGAAAAGGTACTATACAATCCAATTTAAGACCTTAGCTAATATGCACGTGTTAGGTGAACTGCTAATCACTTGAACTTTAAGCGGCTCAGTTTTTTGTTTATATCTTTATTTATCTAAATGATAGGTGATTTTATTCAACAACGAAAGACGTCATATTTTACTATATATGTTGTGCTCATTCCGTTACAAAATACTTAAAAATAACTTTTGCACTTTATAATGCAATGAAAATTGAAATGACATATAAATATTTGTGATCTATATTTAAATATAATTTTTATTTCAATAAAATTGTAACATCCTCAATTTCAGTCCCTGGGAAATGGCTATGATTTAAGTTTGGTAGTTTTTCAATGGAAACCAATTTTTACTCTTGTTCTGGAAAACCCAATTTCGGATCCTTTGTACCCCTTCGTTTTGTTATTTTTGGGGAGACTTTTGTGATCCGAATTTCCAAACACTTTCTTCTTTAAAGTTTCTCCAAACATCTTGAAGTTTTACATACTTTAATTTCAGAATTTTTGGACTTGATATGAGTAGTACGATGGCCTGATATAATATACCGATTGCATCTTCCTCTGGTACTGAAAACTCACTCTAATTTCCAATATGGTTCTCCGGGCCCAAAAAATGTGGATAATATTGACATGGTCTTATTAGTGATGTGTCACTCTACTCCATGCTGCAGCAACCCACTATATGGACAACTAGTGGCTGAGAATAAAGGAGTGGATTTCTTAAAATGGTTATGAAAGTTGTATTTGTTACTTTTGAAACTACTTGGCAATACATAACCTAAAGCTCTAGTCTCATTGTTGCAATTAACAAGAGTAATGAAATCAAGTTTTTGTACCGTCCTGTATAGTGGCCCATAAAGATAGTAAAAGTTTGTGTGCCGTCCTTCGCAATCTTTACTTATGTGCAGTCGATCAATTATAACTCTTAAATAGCAGTTTGACCCCTCAACCAAAAAAAATCAATAAATAATAAATCTTGAGGAAGCAGGAGGGGTCTGTTTATTCCATATAGTTGCCAAATGATTGTACTCTTGGCTAAAAAATCAAACCCTTATCTAGTCAGTAAGTCTGATCATAGTCATGAGAGGATAAATTTTGCTATTGTTTAGAAGGGAAAAGTGCGGGAAATCTGTACTCTCGAGTTTTGTTTCCCTGCATTACTCATACTATCCTATGCCATAAAGATATATCTTTCTACCGTACTAGTTCCACATGATGCTGCAGTTGTCAATACTGTAAGTACCGTTCTAGTCGATGAAGAGGCTGTTGGCCCATTGGATGGACCAGGATGCGGAGCGGAAGTTATTCAAAAGGATTTGCAAATAGAAGCAGTTCGTCCATGACTAAAAGTTGTGCCCCAAATGTGGTATGTAGTGCCTCCTTTTAAATGCTGTCTCGTGCTCAAGTTTCTTTTCATTTGATTTTTTGATCTCTATTTTGTCTACACTAGGTAGTCAGCGCTTTTGCAACTTAATCTGAGAGACGTGAAACTTCAAGATGCTAATCACTGGTGGAAACTTTGGTCTCTAAAGTTGGGATCATTTTTGTTTGGTCTCAAAGTCATCACTCAACGGCTCACTTAAGATACTGCACAATAGGATGGGCATATTGTAGAGTTCCATAAGGATATCGCACCCCAGGATGGGCGTAGTGCTGGGTTTGGTCTCCTTTGGGGATATTACATGCGGAGCTGACGGTGATGGATCCGGTTCGGTGGCCTTGAGTCTATACAAGTAATTTCCATTGTGCAGACTGTTCGTACAGGAATTTTTTGATGTCTATGATGCTGATAGTACAGATTGTCGTACTGGCTAGGTCTTGTTTTGCATCTGAGATGAAGGGGCAAAATTTGGGAATGTGACAATATATAAAGCCGGCCAACTCTTTCTGCATAAGGCTCCGCTGCTTCACTAGTTGGTTCATTGGATGGCAACTATCACTACTAAAATGTTCTGTCTTATGAGATTCCGGAATAACCCGATAAATTTTGGTCGGATCGTGTCGACAGGAACATAGCATCCAACAACATATCAAATGGTTTACAAAACTGTTTTACGAAAGGATGCGATGAATTGTATTTTGGGTATTTGAAGAAACAAGTCGTATTGAATCTATATCCTTTCATGAGCTAATTTTTTAAAATTCAGTATTTTGTCTTTCAAACATTACTCTTTTACTCTCAATTTTCAGAGTTGATGCAGTTATGTGCTAATGTAACCTTGCCAAGTGGATATTGTCTTCCATAGTGACTAAACTGCAAAAAAACAATAAAATGTAAGATGAGTAAATTGTGTATAATGCATTTATCAACCACAATATTCACGATTATGAGGATTATTTGGGGAAATAAAGTTAATAATCGCAGAATAAGTTTAGAAGAAGAAAAACATGAAGGAAACTTGAAAATGTGAGGGTTAATACCACGAAAAACCTCAAACTGGTACATCTGTGATAAATTTACTCAAAACTAATTTTTTAACCATCAAAAACTCATAAACTAGTACACCTATGACAAATTTACTCTCCGTTAGTTTTCATTAAATTTTACTGTCAAATTGCTTTATTAAATGACTCGCGACAGTCAATGGATATACAAGTTTTGGGTTTTATCTTCCGTTTGTCATAGGTGTACCAGTTTGTCATTTTTTGTGGTATTAATCCAATTTGACGGAAACTAATGGAGGGCAAATTTGTCACAGGTATACCGGTTTGGGATTTTTCGTGGTATTAATCCAAAATCTAATGGGTGTGAAAGAAGTGGCTAGAGTGAAAAAAAGTTGTTTGACAGGGATGTGGGTAATTTTGTATTTTAATAATATTAAAAAAAAGAAAACAAATAAAAATGTAAGAAGTAATCCTAAATCGAGAGTAAGACTCGCGCTAAATAATGTAGTCAAATTCAATGTGATAATGGTGTGTAGGGAGCCAATAAAGAAATGAAAACAGTGCGAACCATAATTTATCATCCTCTTTTGTGAGAGTTTCTAATTTCTCATATTTATCCAATATGTGCGAGCAAATTGCGGATGCACCATGACCTTTAACAAAAGGTTACCTGAATCCCAAATGACACGAGAGGTGGAACTTTAGATGGCAAAATTTCTAACACATACTATCTTGCATACCGGAATCTTGCTGGGATGCATAAAAAAGAAATTCTATCGTGCAACGTCAATACATGGAATCAACATTAACAAAAGGTAATATGGAAATTCTTATTGCAAAGTAAAAAGGGACCAATAATAAAAGGTAATATGGAAATTCTTACCCCAGACCAAAAATGAAGGAAAAAAAGGTAGTGAAAACAATAATGTCTTCATTTTCTCTCCTTTAATTAATCTATGCATACTGATTTTATACTTAATTTGAGTTGATCTTATATGGAAATTCTTATGCCAATGTAAGAAAGGAAAAAATGTAAAAGATAATATGGGATTTCTCATCCCAGAATAAAAGGTTAAATAGTTATAGCATGTTGGCGACATCTTATGTCCTCCATTTTTCATTCTTTAAATAGCTGAATGATGTTGAAATTGGAGCAAAGA